GTGTGCGAGTGTGAGTGTGTGTGTGTGCGTGTGTGTGTGTGTGTGTGTGTGCGTGAGTGTGAGTGTGTGTGCGTGCGTGTGTGCGTGTGAGCGTGTGTGTGTGCTGATGTTTAATAAAGAACACTACAGACATGTCCTGGGTTTTCTTGAAGACAATAGCAGGAAACATATGGGCAGACATCTTCTCCAAAAAAAACCATGAGAAACACCATGACAGGGTTACTAACCATACCTGCTTTATCATATTTGATACATGAATTTCTAAATTATCAATATGATCAAAATTTTGCTTAAAAAAAACTAGTACAACATTTTGTACATGCCTTTGTTGTCTGATTGATAGTTTATACTTTTTTAGCAAGTAAAAGTACAATATTTAGTATAATTTATGTATAATTGTAAAAGCGTCAACCTTCAGCTTGTGGTTAACGTGTCTTTTTTTCAAATTTTTCAATTCAATTCTAATTTATTTGTATAGCGCTTTTCACAATGCACATTGTTTCAAAGCAGCTTTACAGAAAATGCATGTGTCTACATTACAAAGCAGAAGTTAATGTGTCCAAGTAATGTTCATGTCACAAATGAACAGTTCAAGATCATAGAATCATACAGCTAGCTAACATGAATTAATTTTAGGCAGACGCTCATTAAAGCGATTAATATAAGTTTGATCATAATGATTACAATATAGAGACATTTTGGCAGCTGTGCTTTTTTCTGTGAACTCTTTTTTTTATATAAAGTAAGACTGACTTTTATATTGCTATTAATATTTCAAGATGCACATTTATGTCAAATATGATCTTCAGGCTTTTGAGGAATGTTTATTTGTTAATCTCTCAATCACCACTGTATTGCACTGCATTATATGTTTATCCCCAGACAAATAAAACTGCAAAGCTTTGATCATATGCTAAGCATTTAAATATATTTGTATTAATAGTAAGAGGATTTTAATGGGAGATATAGACTGACAACTGATATTCTTATGCATTTTATTGTAAGTAGTCTGCTACTGTATAAAGCTCTCATTGATTTACATTACAAGCTATCAGAATTTCTTACTTTTTGACCATATAAATAACATCTGCACCAAACTGCATATTTTTGCTCTGAATTAAAATGATCTGCTTTTTGGCCATAAAACCTAATGTATCAAATATGACAAAAGATATACAATATCGCATATCTATATATATATCTATCTATCTATCTATCTATCTATATATATATATATATATACACATCAGGCTTTGCAGGGTTAAAACAGCTTTTGCTCAAGAGTGACAAGATTCTAGCATGCAGGACACTTGGTGTGAGATCCTACTTCAAAAATGAATGTGATGTCCAAATGTGAGCATGCTCTTTCAAGCACCGACACACTGCAGCAGAGCAGAAGCCTTGAGCTCCACAGCTCACAGAAACCAGTGCAACATCTCTGTCATTGCACAGAATAGGGGAGAACAATTAAATTCAGTGCTGGATTAAATCAGTAACTTTAATAATCTCACGCAACTGTTTCTTCCTGCAAGTTTCACGTCTCTCACCACACCCGATCTGAGCTCAGTTATGTCAGCCCCGAGGGCGCATATTCCTCCAGCACGACTTCCTCCATCACAGAACTAGCATCGCAACAAATATCATTTCTACAAGCCACACTTGTGCGACACTGTCACAACTTCGCAGTGAACAGAAGCATATGGAATAATCTGACATCCGTTTCGACACATGCATTCGCGCCGTCTGTGTGTTTATGCATGATTCACAGCAAACACACGAGAGGAAGAACACCGCATCTGCACTGCTGACAGAATAATAATAACGCTCGTGCGAGCTTCCACTCGAGCTGATACAGTTACAGTATCCCACGCGCTTCATTCATTCCGTGGCGCGCGACTGCTACACTTCACAGAGCTGTAGGCAGTGACAATAAATCACTTAAAGGGAAGGAGAGACAAAAGTGGTCTTCAGAATGTACTTTAATAGCGCTTAACGCCTCACTTTGTTTCTTCCCTTATAAACTATGCAGCATATTCGCCTGAGGGGAAAAAGTGAACTTTTAATGGGCTCAAGTCTCCTCTAAAGCCTCATTCACAGCGTCTCCAGAATAATCGGCAAAACATGGCGTTTTGTTTAAATCCCACCGTGATCCAAAGCTCATTTAAACGCCTGAATTCAACGTCGTATTGTTTATCATCATATCCGAGTTTTTCAGATCCTCGCATCGGAAGGAAACTTCCCACCCTTGAGAAAGTTTAGCTCAACTTGGAAATGAGTTTTTAGCTCTTACCTCAGGTTTCTTCGATCACTAGTTGTCCACCTTCGGACAATACCAATATGTTAACAATCCCTGTCCCCCAGCAGAGAGTTGGCGGTGAGTAAACGCTGGTATGTAATGTCAGAAGTGATTTCTGCACCGTTGCTTTGAGGCGCTGTGTTAAACTCCACCCTGCAGCGCGTGCGCACGCAGGGCGCTCAAATGATTGACTCGCATTTTGTTCTGGGCTTCCTTGACATTGCTTTACTATTGACGGAAAACGACACAAAATAATAATGTTGGAATTTTAGATCTAAAACTTTTTGTTTTTGGTTTAGGTTACGACAATGAAATGTTCTTTTGGACAGGTTTTAATTATTTCGAGGCTTAAAGAATCAAAAAGGCTTCTCATTATTTAATTATTTACTGCTTTAATAATTTAGCTTTCGCTGGATGCTGGGAGCGGAACAAGCATCGTGATTATAGCACCATCTTGTGTTCAATATATTGTTTACACTTGCCTCATAAATTCACTGCATGACCAAAGACTGCTTAAACTGAGGCATTCCTGGAATGTCAGATGGACAATATAGCCAGAAAGAATAAATTTTTAACACAATATTCATATTATATAAAGAGCATTTTTCATGTTACACTGCTACATAGTTGCAGACACGGTGCAGTATTTATAATTTAATTCCAGATAGAGATGCAATAATTACAAAGTGTCTTTAAAAGTTAACAGATGTTTAGTTCTGCTGCACGTTTATGAATATTAAATTAAATAAATGACACAGGGCTGTCATCAGGGGGCACTGCGGTACAAACACTCACTGCTACCCTATTACCACATCCAGTTTTGAGGTTGGTTAAAGGGATAGTTCACCCAAAAATGAAAATGTGATGTTTATCTGCTTACTCCCAGGGCATCCAAGATGTAGGTGACTTTGTTTCTTCAGTAGAACACATATGATGGTTTTTAACTTTAACCGTTGCAGTCTATCAGTCGTATAATGCATGGCAATGGTAACAAAATCTATGAGAGTAAAAAAAACATGCGCAGACAAATCCAAATTAAACCCTGCGGCTCGTGACGACACATTGATGTCCTAAGACACGAAACGATCGGTTTGTGCCAGAAACCGAACAATATTTATATCATATTTTACCTCTAATACGCCGCTATGTCCAACTGCTTTGGGCAGGCTGGAGTTAAAAATCTCCATTTGTGTTCTACTGAAGAAACAACGTCACCTACATCTTGGATGCCCTGGGAGTAAGCAGATAAACATCACATTTTCATTTTTGGGTGAACTATCCCTTTAAGGTAAAGTCAGCAAAGTGGTGACCTAATGAATACTGATTCCAGGTCGTTTCACTTGAGAATACAGTCTCCAGCCTCGAGCAGCATAATGCGCAGAATAACTACAACACAAAGAAAAAAACTATGGAGATAACATTGATGTTATTTGAAAAAATTTTATTTGAAAAAATAACATTATGATATATATATATATAGAGAGAGAGAGAGAGAGAGAGAGAG